TCAGACCTGTAGGACTAGATAGTGCCCAGCTACCATTACCAACTCCTCTGAAAAGAATGACATTAGAAGGTCTCAGATAGAGCGGCAGAAATGGTGGAACAAAACTCAAAATTATTTTAAAGAAACAAAAAAGATAAGGCTTACTGCTTAGAAAGAGACTGGAGGAACTTGAAACTATCACCCATGACCACCCTTCAGGTCTGGAAAGGAATTCACCCTCATGGCCTAACTTTCAGCCAAGCAGTAGATAGGTATATAGGAGGGACAACAATACTAGTAAAGTATGCTCACTATGAATGGTGGAATGGTCACTCATTCAAAATCAAAAGGGCAACATTTACATTAAGACAAATTTGAGAAGGAATGGGAAGGTGGGTGGAATGGAAATAGGAACCACAGGAAGAAGCAGAATAACTGTTGTTTCATAGAGGGGACTGCAATCATTGAAGTGAAACCAAGTGTATGATTTGTTAAATGTAAAACTGATGATCTAGTCTGTAAACCTTCACTTATTTCTCAATAGAAAGTTTAAAAAAAAAAAAAAAAAAAAAAACCATCATAAAGGAAAAATGTAAAATGACAGGAAAGAAAGAAAACTTTAAAATGGATGTCAGAAGAGACTCTGAAACGTGCTCTTCAGTGACGAGATGCAAAAGCAAATGGAAAAAATGAGGAAGTCAAGAAACTGAACAGAACATTTCATAGGTCAACTCAAGATGACAAAGTTAAGTTTTATAATGAAGTTTGCAAAGACCTAGAGTTAGAAAACCAAAAGGGAAGAACATGTTCAGTATTTATCAAGCTGAGAGAACTGAAGAAAATATTCAAGCTTCAACTTGAAATCTTGAAGAATTCTATGGGCAAAATATTGAATGATGTAGAATGTATCAAACGAATATGGAAATTCTACAGAGAGATACTGTGTCAAAAAGAAGTGATCAGTGTTCAACTATTTCAAGAGGCGCCAAAGGAAGAAGTCTGAGCTGCACTGAAGTTATGTTAAGAAACAAGACTCTAGGAATTGATGAAATACAGATCAAAATCTTCCAACAACCTGATGCAGCACTGGAGGTACTCATTCACCTAAGTCAAGAAATTTGGAAGATAGCTAGTTGGTCAACGGATTGGAAGAGATCTATATTTGTGCTCATTCCAAACAGAGGTGACCCAATGGAATGTGGAAATCATTGAAAAATATTATTTATATTACATGCAAGTAAAATTTTGCTGATGATAATTCAAGTAGGGCTGCAACAGTCTATCAACAAGGAACTGCTAGAAAATGAAGCTGGATTCATAAGAGGACATCATTACTGATATCATTTCAGCCAATGGATCTTGGCTGAAAACAGAGAATACCAGAAAAATGTTTACTTGTGCTTTGTTAACTATGTAAAGACTGTTTGGATATGATAATAAGCTATGTATGGCATTGAGAAGAAAGGGTATTCCAGAACACTTGATTGTGTTCATGAGGAACCTGAACATAGACCCAGAGGCAACCATTTAAACAGAACAAGGGGATATTGAACGGCTTAGAATCAGGAAAGGTGTGCACCAGGGCTGTATTCTTACACCATTCTTATCCAAGCTGTATGCTGAGCAAATAATCTTTCTTTCTCTATTTCAACCAAGTAAAGCGAGTCTTATGTCTGAATCTTTTAAACAGTTCTTCCAGATCAGACATCATGATCCAGTTTTCTTTGGTTCCAGAGCATGGCACAGGACTAGGTAGTGTTGTAAATAGGGTCGCTATGAGTCAGAACCTGTAAAATGGCACCTAACAACAACAATAATAGCAACTATAGACCTCATGACCACCATTCACTGGTTCTAGACTACCCAACCTCTAGCTCTTACAACCTCCAACTCTCTCTTATTCCATATCTGGTGATCTCCCATTTCTCTAGTTGTAGAACTCAGTCGCCCATGTCTTCTGATTCAAGACTATATCCTATAACAAACCTCAACTTTCCTCATTCCAGATATTATCACTTCAAATTACTCTTACTCAAGAATTCATTCTTTCAATATCTTTTGATTCTAGATCTCCAGTTTATAAACTTCTCTCGTTCTAGCCCTGACAATTTCAACAACCTTTTTGAGTCTATATACTTGTATTATGGAGTCCTGGTATGGCACTGTGGGTTAATGTACTGGACTGCAAAGTTGATTTGAACCACCAGTTTGGTGGTTTAAGCTCACCAGTTACTCCTCAGAAACCCTATACAGTTGCTATGGGTTGGAACCAACTCAACTGTACTTAACAACAACAACAACGTGTACAGAGACAAGTCACACGATACACAAACCCAGCTGGGTTGACATGGATTCAGGACAGAATTGGCAAAATTTAGAAGGTACTGAGGAATGAGATGGAGCTTAGATACATCACACACAGCTAGAGGGACCAGAAGGGGCTCTCTGGAAGAAGGGGCTTGAGTGTGAATAAAATGAGGGTACACAATGCTGTCAGAGAAGTGTTTTCTCTGGCCACTATGTCCACACTGCATGTAATCCCTTAAGATTTCCACCATTCCATTTGGTCCCAGTGAGTAAAGGACTTAAAACACTTAGAACAGTTCCACAACTGGCACATGGTAAGTACTTAATGTGCATTTAGCAAACATACATTTGCTAAGTTGTGTTTAGAGGCAGAGAGGGAACATGAAGGGAAAGACACATATTAGCAGGAAAGACTAATATCTATCAGGGAACTAATATCTGCCAGGGCCTGGAGGATGTGTGTGGGTGTGTGGGGGGGGGCGGAGAGCAGTGGAGGTGAGATGACTTTCAGGAGGGCTGTTTGAATTCAATTTTGGACATTCGAGTTTGAAGTGCTTGGGAGATTTCTGTGGGGAGGGGACCAGCAATATGACAGCTCTGGGCATAGCTACTAATGAGGCATGAAACCCTGATTTCCTTGGTTGTTTCCTGATTTGTTTCAGTGGGAAATGGCACAAGATCCAAATAGCTCCTGCCTTCCTGAATACAGGCCTGTAATCAGCAGGTATTGTTGACCCTTCCTTCAGTTATGGCTACACACATAGCCAGATTGTTGTTGTTAAGTGCCATTGAATTGGTTCCAAACTCATAGTGACTCTGTATAGGGTTTCCAAGGAGCGATTGGTAAGTTTGAACTGCCAACCTTGTGATTCAAAGTGATCTTGCAGTCCAGCGCACAAACCCACAGCACCACACCTGGACTCCTATAGCTAGATTGGTGGTGGTATGCCATGGAGTCGGTTCTGACTCACAGCGACCCTGTATAGGGTTTCCGAGGCTATAAATCTTTATGGGAGCAGAAACTGAATGGCTGGCCATTTAGAACTGCTGACCTTGAAGTTAGCAGCCCATCTTGTAAGCACTATCTATCATAGCCAAATTAGGACCCTTGAATACCTACAGCTGCCCATAATAATTAGAGTAACACAGGGCTCCATCCCCTAGTGGTGTCTTTGTAAGGGCTTCTAAGTGACAATTCAGTTCAGCAAATCTTCTGTAGGGACGATTCCATGGGAGCTACAGAGATGAGTCAGACGTGGTTGAATTTTGCCCTCAAGAGATTGACACTGTGAAATATAATTAATACAAACAGAATGGGATAGCTATGAAATGAAGTGTTCCAATAAAGTACTATGGAATGTTAAGGTAAGAGAACAATGTCAGGAAATGATGCATGAAAGGGGTGGTGTCTAAACTGGAATTTTAAATTGGTTTAAGTCTTAAAATAGAAGAGTGTGAGCAGACATGAAGGTGGAAAATACAGTCAACATACTAAGGAGGAATGACCCATGTGAATGGACCCAGCAGAATATGATTCAGTTAAAGAATTTGGGCTTCGTGCATGACCATGGGAATCCATCGATGGTTCTTGATCAGAATAAAACTATGAATTACTTCAAGTTTAGCTATGCAGTAGAACTACTATGAGTAATATTCGGCATTTATTATGGAGAACAGACCTTATACAATTGGGGGAGCAGTGGGTGAAGTCTGTGTATAAATGTTATACACATTTATCTCTGCATTTGGTATTATTGTTGTTGTTGTAAAGTTCCGTCAAGTCAGGTGTGACTCATAGCGACCCTGTATACAGTTTCCAAGGAGCAACTGGTGGATTTGAACTACCAACCTCTCAGTTAGCAGAACTGCTATATAGATCAGCTGAACTAGCAGTCAGGAAGGAAAGCTGCGTGTGATGTGAAAGGAGTAAGGACAAACCAGAACTTGTGTCACTCTCGTTATCTTCAATCTCATTGTCTTCAGTCTCAATGAGATGCTACAGAAGTGCATCTTCACCAGGGAGATGCACTTGACCAGGAGTAAGAACAGCTGAAGGAAGAGATCTGGTGGGAACTAGAGAAGTTGAGGACGCAGGTTCTGCCCCATGCTTACATGGTGAACCAGCAGATGAGTCACAAGATGTGTAATGTTCTTGTGTTTGGAGCTCTACATTGGCCAGAACATAAAAAATAGTTGCTGCTTCACTTTTTTTTTTTCTTGTGGTCAACATTAACTCTGAACCATACAAGGAAAAGAATTTTGGGAAACATAGTTCCAACCTAGTTAGGTTGCCATAGTAAACAGTTACCACAAGATGGGCAACTCAGTTAGATAGGTGGTCAGAGAAATGACATCCAAACTTCTAATCATTTTGTGGTTGACCAGAATGATATGGAAGTCATTAGTCTATTGACAAACATTTCAGTCTTCTCTCTCCTTGCAGACACTTGATGTTAGATGTGAACATGTGACTTGTGTTAATTGATGAAACACGTGTGGAAATAAGATGTCAGTTCTGAGTGAAAATATGAAGAATAAGAGAATACTTTGTCATTTGCTCTTTTCCTTTTGTGATGGTAATCTGTTTCAGATTCCAGGTGGTTTATCATCCTGATTCCTAAAGGGATGAAGATGATGATGCATCTCAGTACTCCCACCCATCATCTAATGAATGGACCAGAACTGAAACGTCAAGATCATTAGCACAGAATAACCTAGCCTACCCTGACAGAGAAGGATGGCGTGCAGCAGTAAAATTGGGACATTTTCCTGGAGAGCAGATCTCCCCTCAGCAGAGCTATTGCAGCGGCTTTCACCTCTGTGTTCCTCAGGCTGTAGATGATAGGGTTCAGTGAGGGTGTCACCACCCCATAGAACAATGCAATGATCTTATCCAAGTCAGGGTCTTTGGCCTTGGGTTTGAAGTACATGAAGGAGATGGTCCCATAGAAAATCACTACTACTGTGAGGTGGGCAGAGCAGGTGGAGAAAGCTTTGTGCCGACCTGCAGCAGAAGGTACCCTAAGGATGGTAGCAAGGATGAAAATGTAGGACAGAAAGATGAATAGGAGTGGGATCAGGGCTACAAAAGGTGTGATAACCAATAATATCAGCACACTGATGGAGATGTCCCCACAGGCCAGTTTCACCACTGCCAAGATCTCACAGAAGAAATGGTTAATAACATTGTGGCCACAGAAGGGGAGGCGCCAGGCCACAATGGACTGCAGCAGTGAGTTGGCTTGGCCTATCCCCCAGCTCAGCCCTGCCATCTGAACACATGTCTTCCCACTCATGAGCTCTGAATACCTAAGTGGCTGGCAGATAGCCACATAGCGGTCATATGCCATCACGGCCAAGAGCAGGCACTCTGTGGAGCCCAGTGCCAGGGTCAGGTACATCTGTAGGGCACAGCCTAGGAAGGAGATGGTCCCTTGTTCTTTCAGGAAGTTGATCAGCATGAGTGGCACGGAGGAGGATGTGCCAAGGATGTCAATGATGGAGAGGTTGCTAAGGAAGAAGTACATGGGGCTGTGGAGGCGGGGGTCCAGCAAGTTCAGCCCTATGAGAAGGGAGTTCCCTAACAAATTCACGGCATAGATGCCCAGGAAAAGCATAAACAGGACCCTCTCTAGGTTAGGGTGCTCAGATAAGCCCAGCAGAATATACTCCCTGACTGCTGTCTGGTTTGTCCCATCCATCATTCTCCCTTTTTTTCCATCTGGACCACATAGAGTTGGATAAACACTCTGGCTGATCCGGTAGTTAAGCAGCCTGTATGTGTGTTCTGGGGTAGGTCTCCTTCATCTTTGAAATTTCGTTTCTCCATCTGTGAAGTGAGAGAGTTGGACTTCAGATTTGTAAATTGGTCCTCTCAGCTCTACAGTTCTACTGACTTAGCTTAGGTGAGAATGCTGCACATTCCAGTCCTCTAGGCTCCTCTCTGCTCCCCTCAGACAGAGTGAGAATTGTGCTTGACATGCTTCTTTGGAATCTAAAGACTTGTGGGTCGTTAAAAAGAAGCCTTTCTTGTAGGTTATGACGTCATATGGTTGCATTATACCCATAGTATATTAGATTCCTTTCATTCACTGAGTGCTCACTAGATTTTTTTTTTTTTTCTTTCAAGTGCTGGGACTACAGCAGAAAGAAAAATAAATGAAGTAAAGATGCCACTGTCCCAAGTGCTGTCCCCACATCCGTGAATTAGGTGAGATGGACTCTATAAGGCAGGTGGGTGATGGATGGTGCTTACCTAATTCTTTTGGCCATAAACTTGGGTATTTCTGGTCCATAGGATGTATACGCCTGATTTCTGATCATCTCTCCTCAAGGATTCACAGAACATCTATTGATTTGTGGGGTTTTTCTCTAGGATATACACGAACATACATATCCTAACAGAACTCCAGGTCACGGTATTTAACTCTGATCATCCAAGTGACTAACTTTTTGACTTCCATGTTGCTCTGTAGGAAAAATAATATTAATAATGATGCCACACAATGAGGAAAAATCAGCTTCTAACCGGCACTGTAGGATAAGCACTAGACCCGCAAGGTCGGTTTGAACCTCAAAGTTGGTGGTTCAAACTCACCAGCTGCTCCATGGGAACCCTATGCAGGGTCACTACAAGTCAGAACCAACTCAACAGCACTTAACAACAACAACAACACAACCCGGCAGAAGCTTTGTTAGTCATTTAATAGCTTTACTGTTAGAGGAGTGGAGAGCTTCCCTTGCTGTACTTAGTTGGTCTCCCTGCTTCCTTGAGAAAGACCAATTTTAGGTACACCCAAGTGCTCCCAAGGCACACTCTTGTTAGGAGACAAAAGCAGTCTCATAGCTCAGGAGATCTCTGGTCTGAATAAGAAACAGGAACTCATTATGAACTTTTATCATTCAGAGACTATAATCTCCCATCTCCTCTCTTCTTTCTCTCCTGTATTGATGAGCAGCACAGTGTCGTGAGACCAGGTTAGGAGCTTCATCTGATATTCTCCAGGATTGGATTTTTTTTTCTTCTTCTTCTTCTCATTCTTGTTTGATTCATGTAACTATCTGAAAGGGACAAAGTGTTCCTCTATCCTGTATAAAACATGTCTTTCACAAGTTCTACATTCTTTTGCCCAGGAAATCACCTTTCATCAATAGGTCTTTCTTCCTTCCTTGTGGCAATGTTCCTGCTTGTTTCTCAGAGCCCACCTCCACTCCACTTCTCTTCCATTCTTCTCCCTTTGGCACTAACTACTTCAGTACTAACTAGCTGTGTGATATTGACCAAGTTACTTGACCTCTCACAAACTTCCTTGGAAAATGGAGCTGCCGTGTAGCTCGGATGAAACATATACACTTAGATGCTTGTTAATTAACTGCCCAGGGTGGTGAATAGCATGTTGCTATGGAAACTCCAGACTGGACGATGACATCTTCAGCCAGAAAATAGCTGTTGGGTTTACACTCATCACCTCAGCATAAGATTTCCAGCATCTTTCATATACCTTCTCTCCCCAGGATTGATGCTGGCTTTCTGCCATCCACGCTGAATCAGGGAAACTATTAAACAACAGTGACTAAAACAAGCAGGCACAGTTTGTCCATCTGGGCCAGTAACTACCCTTTAATCTTGTCCACATAAACATTTAAAGGTCAAGTTTTCTTGCTGAGGTTGGCAAAAAAGAATTGTCTGAATATGATGACTTCATTCAACAAAGACTTACTGAGTACCTACTATGTGAAGTCCTGGGGCTATGTGCTAGGAGTAGGGCAGAAGCAGATCTGCCCTCATGGAGTTTACAATCCTTCACTTGCTTTCTTGGTGACTTTGGACACATCTATTCTCTCTGGGTTCTAGAGCCCTTTGCGGATCCTTCTAGTACTGCTAGCCTTTGAGTCTAAGATGTAAAAGACACATGAAACCTGAAATCTAGACGAACAATAAGGGCTTGCAAGGTCTATGCCAGGGGGGTTGTTAAAAAAAAAAATCCTATGCTAGTCTCATAGTCACACTGGACATGTGTGTGGGATGTTATCAAGCAGGCAAACCTCCGGACTATGCATTTCCTTTCTCATCCTTGTCAACAACCAGAAGGTCAGAGAATGATGCAGCATGTGATGTCTTCTGTAATCAGACTCTAGCTGGCTTCCTGCCTCTTTTCCCACTGTGCCCTTCTTGCAGCCCGAGCCATCTCTCCAGACGGCTCCCCATTGTATGCACAAGCCTCACCTGCTCCTAGCTCCTCTCTCTTCTTATGCTGTCTCCTCAGGCTGGAACAGCCTTAGTCTTCTACTCATTCTTCAAGGTTCAATTCACACCACCTTTAGCTAACCTTCTTCTCAGATGCCTCCCCAAAACTGACCACTCTGATAACAACTATTTAGCACAGATTAATTTCATTTTGCCATTGTTGTACCATGTGTCATTTGAGACACTTGCTAAAAATAAAGAAAAGCAATATGTATTTATTGTGTATCTCTAGACCATAGAAGAATTGATGCATTTGAGTTAAGGTGTTGAAGAGGAATATTAAAAGTACCATAGACTGCCAGAAGAACAAATAAACCCAAGTTGGAAGAAGTACAGCCCAAATGCTCCTTAGAAGCCAGGATGGCAAGACTTTGTCTCTCATATTTCAGACATATTAGCAGGAGGGAGCAGTCCCTAGAGAAGGACATCATGCTGGTAAAGTGGAGGGTCAATGAAAAAGAGGAAGACCCCCAATGAGACGGATTGACAGCGGCAGCAGCTATGGGCTCAAGTGTAGCCACGATGGTTCGATTGGCACAGGACCGGGCTGTATTTCGTTCTGTTGTGCATAAGGTTGCTACAAGACAGAACCAACTCAATGGGACTAACAACAAGAAGCCTTTTCTGTGAGCTGTCGAAAACAAAAGCTTTATCACTTTCACGGTCTCATACCCTGTACTTTGGACGGTTCAGTGATTACACTTGAGGTTGTTGTTGTTGTTAAGTGCCGTCGAGTCGGTTCCGACCCATAGCGACCCTGTACAGGGTTTCCGAGGGTGTAAATCTTTACGGGAGTAGAAAGCCTCATCTTTCTCCCGCGGAGCGGCTGGTAGTTTCGAACCGCTGACCTTAAGGTTCGCAGCCCGATTCGTAACCACTACGCTACCAGAGCTCCATTGGTAGCTTATTACGATCTAGTGCTGCCGTTCTGCTAAAAACCTTGATCCCAAATGTCTTATCTGGGGACCACCCTTCCTCCCACCCCTTCAACACACACATCAAAAGAAGAATGCAGACATGGTGATTGCTAGAGGAGAGCCTTGGTGGGCACCTGTCTGCTGCCTTCAATCACAGCTGCTCTTTCTGAACAGCTAAATCAGAGTGGGGTTTTTTTCACAAAGTATGAGTCCGATCTTAACACATCCTTAGAAATTGAACCAGCTCAATAGACAATATGATAAGCATTGGACTGCGAACCACAAAATCTGTGGCTTGAGCTCAACAGCTGACCCATGGGAGAAAGATGAGGTTTTCTGCCCCCACAAAGATTTAAAGCCTCAGAAAGCCTATACTGGGTCATTTGGGGTCTGTACCAACTGGACGCAACATAACAACAACAACAAAAGACGACATGCTTGTGGCCTCGATGAAATCAGTCTGTGTCTAGAAAATACCATGTTATCAGGTCACCAGCAGTTTTGATTCTGCAAACTTATACTTAGGCTGGGACATTAAGGAACAGCTCTGGTTCCCTTTGGGGTCCGTTAGGAAAGGCAAGGTTCTGCTGTAGCAACACATGACCCCATAATCTCAGAGCCTTAAAATCACTTGCTACATGTCCACTCTGGGTTATCTGGGGCTCTGCTCCATGTCATCTTCCTCATAGTCCCTGATTGAGTGAGGTTCCCTGTCTTGAACGTCACCAATCATTATGGTAGATGAAGAGCACACTGGATCATCTTGTATCAGAATCTAAGTGTTCTCATCCTGAAGTGATACAGCTCTTGGCTATTTATAATCCTACCTCATGCCCAGACGGAGCAGAACCAGAGATACTGCTCAGCAGCATGAATGCTTTATATTTGGGTATAATGGAGTTTCACAATATACTCAGACAGATATGCTAGCATGTATCTCCTAATGCTACACATTCTGTAAATGTCCTAGAAAATCAGATTCATGGAGGGATAATATACTTAGCGTCTCTAAGAGCAATTTCACCTTCCCAGTTTTACACCTCTTAGAGGAAAGGTGATACCACGGAATAAACCCTATACTGGGGGTGAGAGTCTCAGGTTTGAGTCTTTCCTTTGGTCTTACTCTGCTCTATGCTCAAGTTTCTCCTTCTATGAAATGAAGACACTCGATTAGGTGGTCTACAGTATTCTGTTTGAGATATTGGTAATTCCACAGCAGATTTTTTTTTTTTCTTTTTTCTTTTTTATCAGAGTAAAACTCTGACTTACTTCCTGGCCAATGCTTCTCAGAGATAGCCACTGTCCAACTGTCCATGAGGACTGCATGCTGTTATGATGCTGAATAGATTTCAGTGGAACTTTTGGGCTAAGACAGACTAAGAGGAAAGGCCTGGTGATTTACTTCTGAAAATCAGGCAGTGGAAACCCTGTGAATTCCAGTGGTTCATTCTATAATTGAGTAGGATGATGACACAGAATTGGGCATTGTTTCTTCCTGCTGTGCTTGGGTTCACCATGAGTCAGGGGCTGGCTCCAC